GGGTATGGGGGTGAAGCCACTGAGTGCCGTTCCCTGCTCCTCCTCCTCCTCCCTAGTCTCCCTCTGCTACAGCTGCCACTGAGGGGGGTGGTGTGTGGGAGCCTAGGGTTTGGGGTTTAAGGGGGGTACCGTGGGAGTGGAGCTAGGGTTCAGCAGGGGGTGTGTGTCGAGGGGTGTGTGGGGCAGTTGGAGGAGGTTGAGCGGAGGTTGCCGTCGTGTCGTCCGCAGCACCTGTATTCCGGGGCCTTTCTTCTCCCGGTAGCTCAGAGAGCCGGTTGCACCTGTCGCCCGTGGGTCCGTTGCTACTGTCGCTGGCTGATCAGTTGCAGAGCCTGTTACTCCTGTATTCCGGGGCCTTTCTCCTCCCGGTAGCCACCAGCGTTGCACCAGAGCCGTCTGTTGCCCGAGTGTCTGCAGCTTCAGTCGTCGCCTCCACTCTTCTCTCATCTCACCAGCCCTCCTCCTCCTCGCTTGCCCTCTGTGACAGCTTTAGCTTTACCCATAATTGTGAACTTTAAACTTTTGCTTCTTGTTCATGTGCTCAGAATGTGTGGTGACATCGTGATCCACCCTGAGCTTCTACTGCTTTGCTTGCTGTGCTGATTACACCCCACTTTGGCTATGGGGGTGTGTCAGAATATTATGCTCTAGCCTGCAGTGGGGTGCTCTATAGCGAGTACAGCCCTTCTAGGGTTAGCTATTTGTACCACCGTTGTTGCTAGTGCAAAACCCCTCTTCCGTTCAATTCTCTCTTGCCTAGCTAGGGTTCTCCTAGCTATGGCCTCTCACTATACCTACTATTCCGACATCCACTACTTCGCAGACTTTGTAATGTACTCCTTCTTGAAAGCGAGCATCTTCTGGGAGAACACACTGGCACGGGTTAATGATCCTTCTTTCTTCAGCCCTCCCTTGTGCCGCGCAGATGCGATGTGAGCGGAGCCTGCTCGAAACGGTTTCCTTGCGCCTTCTCGCACGCTGTCTGGACACAGATCCATTCCTCCGTCGCTCCGCCAGTGGAGGTGAGAATAACGGCCGGGTCCCTCATAATACGCTTCAGAAGGTCTGAGGCTTTCAGGGATGCAGCTGCGGGGGGAGAAAAGCAAACATCCGTCAGTATGAGGCAGAGGATGAAGAGCGAGCGGCAAGGTGTGTACCACCAACGAGTAAGAAGTCGTGCAGCTTATACCATTCATTTCATGAACCTTTTTAACTGTCAGGTTCCAGTTGTTGAAGTTTTCCTGCCTCGGGGTAACATAACGATCATGATAACGTGACATGTGCTGGCCTCCGCAGAAATCGCAGGTCAGCGACGGGAAATGAAGCAGGTACCGCTTCGCCGTGGACGGATCTTCAACAAAGTACCTCCAGTGGTACTCGTCGTCAGCATGAGGGATGAAAAGACCACAGATGCGGTCGGTGTCCAGTCCTGTCACCGGGTCAACTGTCCGATGAAAGCCGAAACCGCTGGCAAAAGCACTTCTGCCTCTCTTAACCAGCTTCGACACCACCAGAAGTCGACGAATCAGCTCCGCCGTTATTTCTGCAGGTACACCCTTAACCACCACCTCCTTGGCCGTGGGGTTCAACACGCGCTCCCTCAGAAATCTCGCATCTTCCGGGTGATGCCACGTGAGGTCGATGAAATCCCCGTTCACACATTCATGACGAATAACCTGGTTCTAAACGAAGTTCGCATCGCGGACTTGGTCGAAAGTGACTTGCAGACGACCATAACGCTCTCCCGAGAAATACATCGCCGTCAGATCTTGGTAGGTCGTTGTTTGTAACACATCCGCTGACAGATGTTCTTTCCAGTCATCCAGCATCGCCGCTACCGTAACAGCAGCGCGAGTAACTTCCGCTTTCCTGGAGAACGGCACCAGTAAGGTTAGTGAAAACCGCTTCAAAGCAATAACACCGTTAAGCGAGTCCGGTTCCAAATGCTCATCAGAATCGTTGCTTAGGTAGCCATCATCTTCCTTTTCAGGAGACCCCGTTGATGGAGCTTCCTCATCATCATGCGCCTGCTCTTCAGCAGAGGCTTCCTCCCGCGAAACATTAGGCACCAGGTTCGGAGAGTTGTCCGGTGCTTCACCCCCTTCACCAGGCTCATTTCCGTCGGAGCCCGTATCACCATCAGGCTTGTTCTGCAGGTCTAGAAGAGCTTTGAACGGGCCGATTACCGGAGCAGAGGAGGATCCCGAGGGTGGTTTCCCCACAACAGCTGAGTCCTTCACTGGTAAGTCAGGTACGCCAGTCCCTTCCTTGTCCGCAGCATTGTCAGCTGACTTCACCATTGTTGCTCTTGTTGTTGCGTCCCTTCACCATTGTGCTATGATGATAAACGCTTGACAGCCCTGTAGTGGCTGAGAAGCAAGCAGATCTGAGCACCGTTGCTGAGAACCACTGTGCTTTATGTCGTTGATGCTTGAAAACGAAGTTCTGCAGGACCAGGCTTGGTAGAACCAGCGACCCCTTTGAGACTGACGAGAGGCCTTGAAAATGGCTTTCCTTAAGAGTGACGCGAAGCTGATGATAGGATGAAAGCAGAAATCAGTAGTGTTGCCCATGACGCCTTGAGCTTGTATATTTACCATATGTGTTCCCTTGGTCAGAAGCTGAGTGTAGCGATGCCTGGAGCCTGGAACTCGTAAAAGTACTGTTTAGGTTCCCGTAATGAACACTAAAAAGGTACCATTGTGTAGAGCTGGCGGCTACGCAGCGTTTAAGAACACTCAATGTCGGTTCTGCTAAGAAATTGATACACATTGGGCGTGTTGTAGCTATAGGCCATGGCCATGGCGGCTGTAAGGCGGATGTCATTCCCTCTGATTGCAGCAGATGATGGTTTATGCCGACGAGAGCCAACTGCGAATGTGGAGAGCATTTTGATCCCCGCTAACATAACACACGCGAAATATACAGGATTGTACGAAATGTAGCACTGAGCTGCCAGGATACTCTCAAATTTAGCACTGACATTTCAGGATACCTCATCCTGTGTAGCCCTGACAATTCAGGGCAAAATCTGATTTCCTAAAAACTGCCATGAGGCCTCAATGTACCCCCAGACGAATCTGAGGCCCTGTCACTAAATAATCGCGTGCCTTCATTTTATTGTTAGTTCATTGAGCCACACCCTTGTTATTCACTATTCTGCGCACTCCCTTTTACAACTCATAACCACATGCGTCTCCTCCCACTGTAAATTTTGACATGTTTCGCAAAGTCGTTATTAAAGACTTCATGACATGAGTCGTGTTCCAAACTGCAAGAATGTGGATCAATCGCCATTGGTTTACCATAAACCATCTCCGTGATTAGCGGAAACTGTCTGAACAAGAAAAACAACCTCGCGAAAGTAACCAGTACGGAACAGTGGTTGAGCAGAGTAGTAGCCAGCCAACCCAACCATTCCGTAAGTTCCATCTGTTTCCCTTTACCGCACTGAAACGCCTGGAATTCAGAGAAGCACCTTCGGTCAGATGAACCAAACTCAACCAAGTGAAAGCACATCACTTGGCGGGCGATGCGGCTGTCACCTGTCGTTGACCAAATTCGACCAATCGAGAGCAGCCTTTTCAATGCTGTTCTGTGTTCTTGGTGCTTCGCTGGCATAGGAAAGAATTTGGTTGGGTTGGTTTGATGACACGTTCAGCAAGAAGTGGTGTAGGAAGCCGAGATGCGGGGGAGTGCCACTGAACTTTTTATCTTATTAGTCTCAGCTTGTACACAGTCATAATCAAAGGAAACAAATACATGAGTCCACACCACAATTTCAACCCATTCTCACCTGAGCAACTGGAATATGTACACCCCATATGAATGGCGACTGAGGGCGTGGGCTCAAACGGGTTTGATCGCCTCGATCAGCAACGATCAATAATTTCCAGGAAGCCTGGAAGCCAAATTCAGGCAATCAGGGGCAATCAGCTGATCGCGATCAGCTGATCGCCCAACCTCGATCTGACCCGATTTTAACCCCGATCAGAGTCGATTTTCCTCGATCACAGGCAATCAATTGATTGCTTGTGATCGGGGCACCTAACGATTTTTGCGAGTAGTTACACTGTTGCATTTACAGTGAAACGAATATTTTCGCCAGGTGAGGCCTGGTCATCAATCTCGCTAAAATGGCGACGAAAATGCCACGCAAATGTATCGCGCTTGCTGAGCAGGCGCTGACAACCTTCTTTGAAAATCATTTCTGATCGGGCGGCTCGTGCACTACGATCACAAGCAACCCGATCAGATCCAACCCGATCAGATCAGTCGCGATTAAACCCGTTTGGGCCCACGCCCTAATCTTTATGGATCTTTTGAAACTCCGTTCGATCTCCCTCGAACCGTTGTCGGGTCGTTCCTCCAAACACTTGGGAAGTCACAAATCATGCCTGCGCACGCGCGTTCGCTGCTCTATTCACGTTCACGTGTCCCCTTGCAGAAAAAAGGTCACAATCAGCAAGCACCACACCACACCACACTGTCACCCCAACAAAAAGTTGTGCGTGTGTCTCGTTGTCGTTCTGCTATGCATTTCCCTCCACTGGAGTTTTCCAGCAACCAGAAACTGAAATCATTCAACGCAACCTGGTCGATACTTTCTGTTTTCGCTCTGAACTCACTCAGTGCATTACCTCCGTAGTCACTTCGCGAGAACTAGTGATCATGACAACCGAGCAGCGACTTCTCCATACAGAAATGGCCGACGAACATCTGTCAATACGGGTGGACTCACGGAACTTTCGCGACGATAACGGACCAAACCACGCGGTTAGACAAACAACAGCTGTCGATCTTGAGACAATAGAAGGCGACGAAGCAGGCAGGTCGCACGCAGAAATCGACGTCGCCGAGGGTGTCGGCGACGCATTACCCGTAATTAGCAAGTCAACGATCAACACGCACGGGCGGAGCCCACGGCAAGATACCAGCGAAGCGTCAGATTCCACGTCAGTAGACGGCAAAGCAAACGGTTCAACGGAACCGACACTCCAATGTCGATGTCTTGGCGGCCCGAGCAACATAGTCGCAAACGAATGCAGCGACGACGTCTCCGACGACGCTTCCGGCGATGGCGACAGCAGTTCGCGAAAGCAGTTCGCGAAATCCCTCTCCGTAGGAAGCGCGGCGAGCGGTGGTGCCGGAAGCGGAGAGACAGATGACGCGAAACCGAACGACATCGAGGCACCAATCCGCGTGCGACGCGTGGACTTCGACATTGACAGCGAGAACCACTACGTGATCGTGGTTCACGGCACGTTCGACGCGCCGCCCGCCGACGGCGCGCCGATGTGGTATCAACCGCCGCCTGCCGGCGAGCAGAACTTCTGCCGGAAACTCAGCCGGCTGTTAGCGCCCGGCCCGATCGGGCAGGACGCGGTCTGGCGCGACCTACCGTGCTCCGCGCTCCCGGGAATTCCGTACCCGTTTCACTGGGACGGCTCGAACACGCACGCGGGGCGCGTAACGGCGGCGATGAAGGTGAGCGGCGGATGCTGATAACGGTTGTGCTCTGATAACAGTGAATCGGCTGCGCTGACCAGAATCTGAGCCTGCTAGAGGCGTAAACCTCTGAGTCCGCTCGGCGTCATCTGCTGGTTCCGTGTATTCTCCAGTTTCGAGTGATATAACACAAACTGTTTCATATTTGCTGTTATTATTGATAAATTTCTTCCATATCTGTATCTTGTTGCCTGGCTGCCCCCTGTCAGCTGCACAACCTGCTCGACCAGATCGCGCAGCACGACCCGGCGGCGCGGATCCACCTGGTGGCGCACTCGCACGGCGGCAACGTGCTGCTCAAGACGATCGAGCTGGTGAGTAACACGAAGGCTTTTGAGGCACCTGAAAAATCACCTGGGTGACGCACTCGCACGGCGGCAACGTGCTGCTCAAGACGATCGAGCTGGTGAGTAACACAAAGGCGGCCGGGCCAAGTGGTGCAGATAATATTATCATAATATTATCATAATATTATCATATATGGCGAGCCGTAGTGTACGTCTGGTGTTGCCAACTGCGGATGCTAACGTTCATTTCGTTGAGGAAGGTTTTGGAATTAAAGCTGGTTACCCTAGATGCGGATTTCGCCAGAGCTTCGCTCTCCTTCCCCACCATCTCTCGCCCCCCCTCTCTCCACTCTTTTCCCTTAACCTCCCCCCCAAACCCTCCAGCCAACCTCCCCTTCCCCCGTCCGCGCAGTACATGGCAAAGTTGGCGCGGCGCCCCAAGGACGCATAAAAGCATCTAATCCCCGCTAGCTTCTCCCCCTTTCTCCCCTTCAGTACACCAATCCCCCCATTTCCCCCCTCCCCCCTCCACACTCTCTCCCCCTCCATCCTCACCCCCGCCCCCGCCCCCCGTCCGTGCAGTACATGGCGAAGCTGGCGCGGCGCCCCAAGGCGGAGTGGCACCCGGCGGTGGCGCAGCGGTTCTGGACGGCGCACAGGCGGGGCTACGAGCTGATCCGGAAGTGGCGGCGCCTGGAATTGTCCGACTCGTGGTGGCGTTTTTTCCCCCTCCTCGTTGTGTACCGAGGGTGAGTGAGTGGGGGGAGTGAAGGGAGTGTAGGGTGGGTGTGAGGGAGTGAAGGGCAAGTGAGATACTAGCAACAAGCACAAGGGTGGGAAGCTGGGTGGGAGAGGTGATAACTGGCGCACTAACCTTTCTCTAACCCTCTGCACCGATTCCCGAACCCCCCCACTCCCTCCCACCAACCTCCCTACTTTCAGGTTCTACGGGCAGAGGGTTGAGTGCCGTGAAAGAGACCTACCCATGGGCTCTCCACCAATGGCTGGACACCATGCTGAGCATGCCAGCCGTGCGGAAGCGCTGCTTCCTCTACCCCTCTGCACCGAACTCCATTCCCTCTTCCCCCTTGCGCTCCCCCACCCCCACCACCCTTCACCCAGGTTCAATGGGCAAAAAGTGAGCGGAGTGAAAGAGACCTACCCCTGGGCGCTCCGCCAATGGCTAGGCACCCTCCTGGACCTCCCAGCAGTGCGCCAGCGCCGCTTCCCCTACCCCTCTGCACCGGACTCCACTCCATTCCCCCCCCTTGCTCCCCTCCACCCCCCTACTGGCAGGTTCAACGGGCAAAAGGTGAGCGGCGTGAAGGAAACCTACCCCTGGGCGCTCCACCAATGGCTAGACACCCTCCTGGACCTCCCAGCAGTGCGGCAGCGCCGCTTCCTGTCCTTCCGCCAGGCCAAGTCCCCCGTGACCAACGCGCTGGGCTCGCTTGTGTTCCTGGGCACGCCGTTTTACATCAAGAAGTGGCAGCGCCACGGCTTCGTGCGCATGCTGCTCTCCGTGGGGGCGGGCGTGCTGCTCACGTATCTCTTCATTCTCGCCTACACGGCGCTCTGGGAGCTGCTCGTGCTGCTCATGGCAGGCAGGCCGCAAGAGTGAGTGGCTTGGCTTGAGTCGAACAGTGCTGTCAGCTGATTTTTGAGGACTTTTGAGACGTCTCAAAAGTCGAGCAGTGCCCTCAGTTGATTTTCGAGGCGCCTCAAAAGCAGGCCGCAAGAGTGAGTGGCTCGGCTTGAGTCGAACGGTGCCCTCAACTGTACCTTTGATTCTGCTCGTCAAGCACTACGGGTGCATTGAGGTCGTTTTTGAGGCGCCTCAAAAACGACCTCAGAGTGAGTGGCGTGGCTTGAGTCGAACGGTGCCCTCAGCTGTTCCTTCGATTCTGCTCGTCAAGCACTGCGTCTGGAAGGCCCTCCTTTTGAGGCGCCTCAAAAGCTGTTCCTTCGATTCTGCTCGTCAAGCACTGCGTCTGGAAGGCCCTCCTTTTGAGGCGCCTCAAAAGCTGGTCCTTCGATTCTGCTCGTCAAGCACTGCGTCTGGAAGGCCCTCCTTTTGAGGCGCCTCAAAAGCTGGTCCTTCGATTCTGCTCGTCAAGCACTGCGTCTGGAAGGCCCTCCTTTTGAGGCGCCTCAAAAGCTGGTCCTTCGATTCTGCTCGTCAAGCACTGCGTCTGGAAGGCCCTCCTTTTGAGGCGCCTCAAAAGCTGGTCCTTCGATTCTGCTCGTCAAGCACTGCGTCTGGAAGGCCCTCCTTTTGAGGTGCCTCAAAAGCTGTTCCTTCGATTCTGCTCGTCAAGCACTGCGTCTGGAAGGCCCTCCTTTTGAGGCGCCTCAAAAGCTGGTCCTTCGATTCTGCTCGTCAAGCACTGCGTCTGGAAGGCCCTCCTTTTGAGGCGCCTCAAAAGCTGGTCCTTCGATTCTGCTCGTCAAGCACTGCGTCTGGAAGGCCCTCCTTTTGAGGCGCCTCAAAAGCTGGTCCTTCGATTCTGCTCGTCAAGCACTGCGTCTGGAAGGCCCTCCTTTTGAGGTGCCTCAAAAGCTGTTCCTTCGATTCTGCTCGTCAAGCACTGCGTCTGGAAGGCCCTCCTTTTGAGGCGCCTCAAAAGCTGGTCCTTCGATTCTGCTCGTCAAGCACTGCGTCTGGAAGGCCCTCCTTTTGAGGTGCCTCAAAAGCTGTTCCTTCGATTCTGCTCGTCAAGCACTGCGTCTGGAAGGCCCTCCTTTTGAGGCGCCTCAAAAGCTGGTCCTTCGATTCTGCTCGTCAAGCACTGCGTCTGGAAGGCCCTCCTCTCAACTTCCTCCTCGCCCCCCCACCCACAGGTTCTACGCGGAGTCGGGCCCTCACCTCGTCCTGCTGCTCAACTTCCTCCTCGCCCCCCCACCCCCAGGTTCTACGAGGAGTCGGGCCCTCACCTCGTCCTGCTGCTCAACTTCCTCATCGCCACTGGCATCATGCTGCTCGTGCTTGTCAAGCAGATCATGGACGTGAGTGTAACGAGGTGTGAGTGTCACGAGGTGTGGGTGTAAGGAGATGTGTTGGGGGCAGCACTACAATGAATGTGAGTGCGAGGGCAACAGCACTGGCATCATGCTGCTCGTGCTCGTCAAGCAGATCATGGATGTGAGTGTAACGAGTGTGAGTGTAGGGAGATGTGTTGGGGGCAGGCAGCACTGCAGTGGATGTGATAAAAGCGGGGGGGTAGTGGAATATCTCTAGGGTTTCGTGTGGGAGCTCAACCAAACAGGCATGTCGCCACTGGCATCATGCTGCTCGTGCTAGACAAGCAGATCATGGATGTGAGTGTCACGAGGTGTGGGTGTAACGAGGTGTGGGTGTAACGAGATGTGATGGGGGCAGCACCACAATGGATGAGTGTAACCAGGTGTGAGTGTACCGAGATGTGGGTGCAGAGTGAGTGAGTGGTCAGCACAGTGAGGTGCTGCGGCAATCTCGACCACAGCCCGCCTTTGCTCTCCTTCGCTTCTCAGCCACCTTCTCGCAATCCCTGCCTCTCATCTTCCCCCCCCTCCTCCCCCTTCCCTACTTGAGGCAACAGGCAACACAGTGCTGTACAGCGGCAATATCTACCACAACCCTTCTCCTCTCACCCCGCCTTCTTTCTCTCCTCGCTTCTCATCCCCCCCACTCCTCCCCCTACCCATCTCCCAGGCAACGGGCAACACAGTGTGGTACAGCGGCAATCTCTACCACTTTTGAGAATTCTCAAAAGTGATTTCAATCTCTACCACAACCCCCTTCACCCTCCTTCGCCTCTCATTCCCCCCCTTTTCCACCTGGCCCCTCCCCCCCTTCGGGCAACGGGCAACACAGTGCTATACAGCGGCATCATCTACCACAACCCTTCTCTCTCTTGTGATTCTCATCCCACCTTTTCACTCTCCTCGCCCCTCCCCCCTCCCCCCCAGGCCACGGGCAACACAGTGCTGTACAGCGGTAATCTCTACCACAACCCGGCCTTCGACTGGTCGCCTGCCATGTCCGCCCTCGTCATCCACGCCGGCAAGCTGGACGAGGTGAGTGTGCGGGCCACCGCTACCAACCCCTACCACCCCCATTCGTCCCCACCCTATTTCTCTCACAAGGCAAGCGCCCTTTGACTGGTCGCCTGCCATGTCCGCCCTCGTCATCCACGCTGGCAAGCTGGACGAGGTGAGTGTGCGGGCCACCGCTACCAACCCCTACCACCCCCATTCGTCCCCACCCTATTTCTCTCACAAGGCAAGCGCCCTTTGACTGGTCGCCTGCCATGTCCGCCCTCGTCATCCACGCTGGCAAGCTGGACGAGGTGAGTGTGCGGGCCACCGCTACCAACCCCTACCACCCCTATTCGTCCCCACCCTATTTCTCTCACAAGGCAAGCGCCCTTTGACTGGTCGCCTGCCATGTCCGCCCTCGTCATCCACGCCGGCAAGCTGGACGAGGTGAGTTGATCCAACCCCCCAAGCATCCCATATCACCTCCTGCCATCCCCTGCCATCCCCTGCCGCAAGTGTTGTCTCTCACAGGGCGAGTGCCCTTCGACTGGCCGCCTGCCATGTCCGCCCTCGTCATTCACGCCGGCAAGCTGGACGAGGTCAGTGCGCCACCCCCTACCACCCCCTGCCACCCCCTACCACCCCCTACCACCCCCTGCCACCCCCTGCCACCCCCTACCAACCCCGACCACCCCCTGCCATACCCTGCCACCCCCTGCCACCCCCATTCGTCCCCACCCTGTTCACTCACCAGGCGAGTGCCCGTCGACTGGTCGAATAGCACATCCGCGTGTGATGAGTCGATTTTTGAGTCGACTCAAAAATCGGTTCCCACCTTCCGTCACCCTTCCGCCTCTCCTCACCTTACTCGTCTCTTCATTGCTTCTGCCATCTCTCGAATGAAACACCCGCCTTCCCCCCCATTCCCCTTCCACCTCCCATTCCCTGCCTCCCATTCCTCTCCCCCCCTCACCGTTCCCTCTTCTCCTCCCTTCTCCCCCAGGCGAGCCTTGCTCTATCCATGGAGCCAATCACGCGCGCCTACGTCTTCCCCCACCTGACAAAACTCCTGAAGCAGACCCCCTGGGCGCCACTACACTACCCAAAGCCCCCACACGCTACGCCCCCCAGCGAGTGTGGTGGGCGTTCCTGTTCCACTGCTCCGTCGTGCTCGTGTGGGACAGTTTCCTCTTCTTCCTCCCACTCCTCTTCCCCTTCTCCCACCCTCTAACTCTTGCCCTCCCCCTCTTCCCCTCCCCTCCCGCTCCTTCTCCCCCCAGGCGAGCCTTGCTCTGTCCATGGAGCCAATCACGCGGGCCTACGTCTTCCCCCACCTGACAAAACTCCTGAAACAAACCCCCTGGGCGCCGCTACCCAAGGCCCCCACACGCTACGCCCCCCAGCGCGTGTGGTGGGCGTTCCTCTTCCACTGCTCCGTCGTGCTCGTGTGGGACGTCCTCTTCTTCCTCCCTGCTGCCGTCTTGTCGCTCCTCTCGCACCTGATCGCCCCGCTGGTGACCGGGTGGATTCAGCGGGCCGTGGTGGCCGTCAGCTTTGGGCTGTCTCCGGGGGATCTGAGCTACGCGTACGTCTATGTGGACGAGCATCTGGATATGGAGCTGGCTACTCAGCAAGTGGACCACTGGAACGTGCAGGTATGTAGGATGGAAGGGTGGGAATGAGCAGCTTGGTTTGGTATCCTGTTACTGCCAGGCGGGGGACCTGAGCTACACGTACGTGTATGTGGACGAGCACGTGGATGTGGACCTGGCACGCAGCAAGTTGACTGCTGGAATGTTCAAGTACGTTACATGGAAGGGCGGGAATATGTGGGCTGGTACAGGAACAGTGGGCTGTTGGTGAGGGACCTGAGCTACGCGTACGTCGATGTGGACGAGCACATGGATATGGAGCTGGCTACACAACAGGTCGACCACTGGAACGTGCAGGTAAACATAACACAGAGGAGTGGGAACATGTGGGCTGGTCTGGTTGGTATCCTGTTACTGCCACCCAGACAGACTTGAGGTACACGTAAATGTAGCACATGGATATGGAGCTGGCTACACAATAGGTCCATCACTGGAACGTGCACGTAAGCGCTGCTGCTAGCCTCGTTGCGTTTCCCTGTGCGATCGCTAATTGCTCTGCATTTCCCCTCTCCTCCCCTCCCCCCTCCCCTCCCCCCTCCCCTCCCACTGTCACTCCCTACCCTTCTCCCGTCCCCCTCTCTCCCCTCCTTAGAAACTCCTGGCAGAGGCGAAGATTAGTCACTCAAGGGAGAGCTCATGCCCGGGTATGACCCATCTTCCATGATCGACCCCACTCCCCGACCTCCACTCCTCACTCTCTCTCTCCCCATTGGCTTCCCTCCTATCCTCCTCTTCTCTTACCAGAGACTCCTGGCAGAGGTGAAGACCAAGTCACCCTAGGGAGAGCTCATGCCTGGCTAGGAGCTGTCTCTTACCATCACCCTCCCTGTCTCACATCCGACCCTCACCCTCACCCTATCCCACACCTCACTTTCCTTCAGAAACTCCTGGCAGAGGCGAAGACCAAGTCACTCAAGGGAGAGCTCATGCCCGGCTATGAGGACGACACTGTTGAGCAACCTGATTGGCTGGAACCATCCCCTGCTGCCCATCGCCGTGACCGCACGCCCCGTTGTGACGGCAGCAGCACTGGCACTGCGCAGCAGCAGCAGCAGCCCGAGTGGCTCAAGCTACCCCCCGCTGCTGCTGTGCAAGCCCCCTCGTGCGAGGAGGGTAGCGACAGTGGAGAGAGTAGCGGGAACGAGGCGGGGTGTGGGGCGCCTCACAAAGTGCTGGCTGCTGCGCTGAGGAAGAACACCCACAGTGTGTTCCGAAAGAGAAGGGGAGCACGAGGACTGCTGCTGAGACGCACAGGCAATACACGGAGAGGAGAGGGTGTCAAGGGGGGCCGGCTTGGGTCAGAAAGAGGGGTGGGAGAGGGGGATGGGGAAGGGGAGAGTGGCAGTGCGGTTCCACGGTGCGAGCCTTCTGAGATCACGCCCGCTGCTCCTTCTGGCGCTGCTCCCACTCCTGCTGGCGCCGGAACAAGCACAGCCAGGGATGATCCGCGTGAGAAACTCGCCTTTGAATTCCTCTGGGACGACCGGGAGCTCGCCCACCTGGCAGAGCAGTCCCAAACGTTCCAGCGGCTCAAGTCCCAGCTCCCCACCATGGGCCGCAACCCCCGGCTCAGCGACCGGGAGTTCGAGCGGCAGTTGCAGCAGCTGTGTGTGCTGATTGAGGAGCGCGTGGGGGAGCTGACTGGCCGGTGTGACTTGAATCACGGGGCGTATTTCCGGGATCCGAGGATTTTGAGGGTGGTGGCGCATTTTATTGAGAAGCGGGAGCTTCCGGAGTGGTGTAAGGGTGTGGACGGGGATATATGGCGGTGGAATGAGCATTTGAATGAGGTGCACTCGCTGCAGCTGCTGCAGATGTCGCAGGGCGGCCGGGGAGCGGGAGGATTGGGAGGTAATGGAGGGACGGAAGGCAGTGGGGAGTCTATTTGTGCAGAGTGTAAAGGCGGTGCCTCTATGCTGAAATCGCTCTTTAGGAGTATGCGGGGAGGGAGTCAGAGGGAAGGGGGCCAGAGGGAGGGCGGAGGGCACCACGGGTTTTTGAATGGGCATGCAGTGCATTTTCCACACATGCCTGATTTCGCCAGTGGCGCCCGGAGCTTGCATCTCCCACACATGCCTGATTTCGCTAGTGGGGCACGGAACTTGCATCTCCCACACATGCCTGATTTTGCTAGTGGGGCAAAGGGCTTGGCTGAAGGGCTGTTAGGCTCGGGCAGCTTTGGGGGGCATCACAAGGGCAAGGCAGTGGGCTTTGGTGCTCCTGCTACTGCTGCTGGTGGCACTGCTGCTGCTGCTGCTGCTGCTGTTGCTGCTGCTGATGCTGCTGATGCTGCTGCTGCTGCTGCTGCCGCTGCTGCTGCTTCTGCTGGTGGTGTTTCACAAACTCCTGACAGCCACATCGAGGGGATGCACAGCAATGGGCAGCAGGCACGGCGGCTGATGATGCAGCGGTCTCGGTCGGCCTCCCATGGATGATGTGAAAGATATGCTGGCAGTGATGGTGAGAGGGGGGCGGGCATCAGCAGGGTGTGGACGCATGAGAGCCACACAGAGAGGGTGCACTGCAGTGGGCAGCAGGCACGGCAGTTGGTGCGATAAGAGTGGGTGAGGAGGATTCATCATTCTGCAAATCAGTGGCTCCGTTGCATGACGTGCAAGACACACTGGTGCTTATTCAGCTTATTAGTATGAGATAGTATGTATTGTAAGGCGAACATTCGTGCTGGCACCATAGTGCCTGTGTGCACACAGGCCACGTATTTAATGTTGGAAACATATAGTTTGCGATTCTGACGTGTCAAGCACCACAACGTAAACGAAGCGAACTACTGCGAAGCAACAGCGGGACAACCGAAACTACAGTGAAGCGGTTGAGAAGAAAAGCAACAGCGAGAGGTTAAGCGAAGGTCAAAGGTCAGCGACCTTTGACTCGCTGAAAAGCTGCGCGACAGTAAGGACACACAATTGACTCGACATTGAGCAGTTGCCCGAGTCGTCGCTGTATCGAATCGCATTAGAGGTTACAATAACGGTTAAACATGAAGCGGTTTTCCTTATCATTCTTGTAATCTTATATAAACCTTGTATCGTCTCATAATAATTTAACTTCTCTTGTCCTCACACACTAGCACAAGGTGGATCAACCAGTGTACTGGAACGCTTCCGCAATTACTGTTAAAGTAAGAGACAGGAATGAATGAACTAGCAAGGGTTGGGGTACAAAAGATAACCCTAGGTTGGGTTGAACCCCTTATGGGCTACCCCACTACAGCCTACACAGCCACATCAACATTTGACACACCCCCATAGGCAAAGTGGGAGAGAACAAGGGGTCACACGACCAGTCAGCAAAAAGCAAAGCAAACTCAGGGTGGATCACGAAGTCACCACACATTCTGAGCACAAGTTTACAAAAGGCCACACGACCGGCCAGTTCACATGCAGAGTTGTATAGAACAAGGCAGACAGTACAGTGCTCACTACCTAGCAAGTGCAAGCATGCAGGTATATATATATATAGATCACAGTACAAGGAAGGTCAAGCAGAGAGCAAGTGAGAAAACGTAGGCACGAGGCCTAAAGCAGTGCAGTGACACTGATGATCACCAGGCGGAAGTGCCTTGGTGAAGATATCAGCTGTGTTGGCCCGCGTGTCCACGTAAGCAAGACGAAGCTGGCCACGCTGCTGCAGCTCTCGAGCAAGGAAGTAACGCAGAGCGATGTGCTTTGTTCTGTGCTCCAGTCTGTGCTCCTCACACAAGGCGATGGCGGCCTTGTTGTCGACGTACAGAACTGGAGGAGAACAAGGCCGCTCTCCCAAGTCGGTCAACAGGTAGGTGAGCCAGCGTAACTCCTGCGCAGCCATGGCTGTGGCGTAGATCTCAGCCTCACAACTGGAGCTGAGAACAGAAGACGAGCGGGTGGACCGCCAAGAAACAGAGCCGGAACCAAGGCTGAAGGTGTAACCCTGTGACGACCGCTGCGTAGCCAGGTCGTCAACCCAAGAGGCGTCAGTGAGGACAACCGGACCCTGTCCTCCAAGCACCAGTCCCATGCCTGATGTACTGCACAAGTAGCGCAGCACCCTCTTAGCAGCCTCCCAGTGCTCTCGCCGGTGTCTCCCAGGCGCAACGTAGCGAGCTAGGATGCTAAGAGGGTACGCAAGGTCAGGTCGTGTGCAGGTCATCAGGTACATGAGGCAGCCCACAAGCTCTGGATACGGGCCACTCGGCTCTACGGACTCATCCGAAGGCAGAGCTGAGAGCGAGTGACTCGTAGGCAGAGGAGTGGACTGTGGTGAGGAGAACTGGAAGCCGAAGCGCTGAAGGACCTGCTGCACCATGTGTGACTGAGTCAGTGTGATGGTGCGGCATGCTCTGTCCCGGGTGATCTGCAAGCCAAGGTAACTGCGCAACTCACCCAGGTCTGTGCACGTGTGTCTCTTCTGCAGCTTCGAATTCACACGAGGATGTAGCGAAGTGTCGGTGCGGAGAAACAGCGACGGGTCAGCAGTGGAAGGAGCAAACCCAAGAGCCGCAAGTGTAGTCCTCAGTGTGTCGTGCCACTCACGAAGCGCCTGGCAGAGACCGTAGACTGGCCGCTGGAGGCTCCACTGGGTACCAGGAGGGAACGACCCAGTGAAGCCAGGTGGGCGGCGCAGCCAGATCTCCTGCTGTGCTGAAGTAAAGAGAGTGAAGCTCGTAGTCACGCTGAGCGGCAACGTGCAACAGCACCCGAAGAGTGGTCATCTTCAGGGTAGGGGAGAAGGTCTGGAAGAAGTCAACTCCCTGTCGCTGACTGAAGCCTCGTGCAACGTAACGAGCCTTGAAGACAGGCGGAGAACCCGGCGGCCGCTTCACCCTGAAAATCCACATGCCATCGACTATGTTTGCCCCAGGAGGGGGAACCTCGTCGACATAGGTGCCTGTGGACTTCCAGGATGCCATCTTTGCGTCCATGGCTGTCTGCCACTGAGAGGAGTAGGGACCCGAAACAACCTCTGTGTAAGAGCGCGGGGTCGGGATGTCTAGTGCATCCGGGTCTCCCTCAGGTGCAAGCAGCCAGGCCACGAGATGAGGTACAGCAGCCGCAAAAGACTCGAAGTCCTCTTGTCTATCCTCAAGGACGTCCGTGCCAAGAGCACACTCACCCCCGACAGACGGAGGACAGACATACTCAGACTCAGCAACAAGACTAGCAGCGTAGTCTAGACGACACGCAGCAGCAAAGTCGACAAGCTCAGCAACCAAGGCAGACGCAGTAGCAGACTCAAACGACGGGTCAGTGACAACAGTGGCCAGGAGACGCGTGACAGTAGGGTGAGCAGCACGAACAGCGTCAGGCTTAGGGTCTAGGACGACCAAAAGAGAAGACGCAGGAGGAGACGGCAGGGGGACACGCTGCGGAACAGAGGAAGGACGAAGTGCCATGGTGTGAGTACCGGGCACAGGAGGAGGACGCGGACGCGGGACACGACGAGTACGGCGAACAGGGGAGGCAGGACGAGACACAGGCTCACGACGCTCTGTAAGGGAGACCGGCTGCTCAGTGTAAGGAAGGGGGGCAGGCAGCTGTGCGTCGGGAGCAAGGACAGTGGACGAAGGAAGACCAAGAACCTGGCGGAGCACCGACTCGGGCGGAAGCTCGGACAGCTGCGGCGGCGGCAAGAAAAACGGTCGCTGCTGCACAGTACCTCCAGCTCCAGCACCTCCAGCTCCAGCGCCTCCAGCACTAGTGCCTCCAGCTCTAGCGCCTCCAGCTCCAGTGCCTCCAGCTCCAGCGCCTCCAGCGCCAGTACCTCCACCTCCAGCGCCTCAAGCTCCAGTACCTCCAGCTCGAGCTCCTCCAGCTCCAGCGCCTCCAGCGCCAGTGCCTCCAGCTCCAGCGCCTCCAGCTCCAGCGCCTCCAGCTCCAGCTCCTGCAGCTCCAGTGTCTCCAGCTACAATGTCTCCCGCGGCGGCGTCCCCAGCACCAGCAGCGCTACTCCGAAGGCGGGCGCGCCGAACAAACCACTCCCACAGCTGCTGTGGCGAGAGAGGCTCCCGCTGGCTAGACAGCTGCGGCGAGGCACCCAGAGGACGGCTAGCAGACACAGCACTCCCAGGCTCAGCACGCTCAGACTCAGCACCCCCAGGCTCAGCACCCCCAGACGCAGGACCTGCAGGCTCAGCACTCCCACGCGCAACACCCCCAAGCTCAGCAAGCCCAGACGCGGCACTCCAAGGCTCCACACGCGCAGGCTCAGCACCCCCAGGCTCAGCACCCCCAGACGCAGGACCCGCAGCCTCAGCACTCCCACGCTCAGCACCCCCAGGCTCAGCACGCTTAGACGCAGCAGCCCCAGGCTCAGCACGCGCAGGCTCAGTACCCCCAGGCCCCGCACCTACAGGCTCAGCACCTCCAGCAGCACCTAAGTCACTAGTGACCTCGACAGGCTCAGCCAAGGGGAGTGGGTCTACCTGAGACACACCTGGAGAAGCAGGACCCTGAGGGGGGAGGTGTCTGACCAGCGCGGTCACCTATGCGAATGGCATACTGGCAGCGAACACTACCCCCAGACGCCCCACGCTGAGCGTACCACTCACGAAGCTGCTGGGGCGTAAGGGGCTCACGTGGGCGCTAATGTTGCTACCTCTGCCCACCACCAGAACCTCCCCACTGGACCGCTCCACCCTGACCGCCACCACCGCCGCCACCATCGCTCCCACCGCCGCCGCTACCACCGCTGCCCCCGCTGCCGCCACCACTCCCACTGCCGCCACCTCCACCAGCACCACTCCCACCGCTGCCGCCGCCGCCGACTACACCTCCACTCCCGCCACCACTCCCATCGCCACCTCCGCCACCTCCACCACCACCCCCCCGCCACCACCGCCCCCACCCTTGCCACCCTTGCCCTTGCTGTTGCGGCGCTTCCCACTAGGAATAGAAGCAGCACCGACCTCCTTAGCACCAAGGAGGTCAACAGCAGCAGCAGAAGCGTTGGAGGGGGCAAGGGGGGAGGGGGCACACCCCTCAAAGAGGGGAGTGCGAGGAGTGCCACGAGCAGCACCGACAGCGACAATGCTAGCCTCAGCTGCAAGGAGGTGCTCCTCGAGATCGTCAAGAGTGAGGTCTGTGGGGCTAAGGGCGAGAAAGTGGTCCCTGACTACGCGAAGAGAGTCAGGGAGTCGGGTGACGATGTAGTAGAGGGTGATGTATAGCGGGGGTGGGTTCTTGTCTAAGAACTCGGCCGGGAGGGCGGCGCGGTAGCGAACGTCACTAGCGCGGAGGTGGGAGATGAGGTCCTTAGCTGTGGCAAAGGAGGACAGCTCACGAAACAGGTACGGCAGGATAAGGCGGCTAAGAGCAGCAGTGGCAGGGGAAGAGTAGCGAGCGACTACAACAGTGTACAGCGCCTTCAGCAGTGTACAACACCTTAGCAGTTTTATGCTGGCCAAAGTGAGCGCGTTCAGCTAACGGCAGGTGATTTCGGA